AGCCCGAACCGGAGTAGCGCCCGAAAATTGCTTCCTCGGAGAGGGTGCGGAGGGAACAGGGGAGAGGAGGTTCCATCGGACCCCGGTTGGCCCTCGGTAAATTTCGCGTTTTCGGCTTCCCCCTCGAAGGGGTTGCCTCCCTCCTGATGCAGGTGTCGGACGCCAGGTGAGGGATCCTCCTCTACCTCCTCTCTCCTTCCTTTCGCCGAGGTCTGCCACGATATCCTCGCCCTTTTCGGAGCGACTGGACGATAAAGGATTTTTGACCTCTCGTTGCAGACACGTGGGCTCGTGGATCCTCCCGCTGGAACGTATTTTTATACACCGTTTATGCCATGCAAATTTCTTTGCAGCGCTCTTTATCGATTTAATTTCGAGGTCGAAAATTCTCTTTTTTTTTTTTTTAAATTGAATTTCGGTGCCAATGTCGCTTTACGGGGGGAAAATCCAGGTGGGCACGGGACGAAGTGTCCCGGTGTTCGTGATAACAATTGCACGACGCCGTGTTTATTGTCGGGGGTCAGGGAAAATAGATATGATTAGTCGCCGAAACGAGATATCGAGGGTTCGCGGGGTGCTGCCGATCGATTTCATCGGTGAGCCCCGAAGACGCCCTCGAGGAGCCTCGCGCGAGGCTCCGGGCTTCCCCGTTGTTTAACGCCGAGTTTCCGAAACAAGGTTTCGACGTTCGGTCGTTCCCTCTCTCTCTGCCCCTCTACCTCTAATCCCTCTCATTGGAGGTAACGAAGCCGAGATCTCGAGCTCCTCGGCGCCTCCAGCTTGCCACGTTTCTCGAGGTTCCCCCCGCAAAAAAAAAATTCGGTGTGCGTAGAATCGACGGATCATGGAATTTCTGATCCGCCCGAGGTCCGAGGAAAGATATCCCGGTTCCCTTTCCTCTCTTCCAGTTTTCCATAATTTTCGCTCGTTTCCTCGAAAACCGTCGACGCACCTCGCGCGCCGAAAATCCCCCGCGTACATGGCCGCAGGGCCGTAAAACTCGGCGACTTTCCGAATCTCTCGTCCCGGGGTCCAAGGAAAGGTATCCCGAGTACTTCCCGTCCCTTTTGGTTTCCCGTGGAGTTTTCCTTAATTTTCTCCCGTCTCCCCGGTAAGCGCCGACACACCTCGCGCGGCGAAAAGAGCCCCGCACACATCCCGCCGCAGTGCGGCTCCGCGAGGCCGCGCGTACACGGCCTGAAATATAAACGAAGGAGCGGGGCCCGTTACCGACGCGTTCGCGTTTTCCGTCGACGTTACTCGCGGGAGAAACTCGGGTATACACCGGGTGCCCCCTTTCAGCCTTTCAGTCTTCAGCCTTCCCGCGCCTGACCTAACCTAACCTCCTTAATTCCCCCAAAAGTCCGCCGTCCCTCGCGTGTCAAAAGTTCAAAATGCATCCCTCCACGTCTACGGTATTTACGTCAAAACTTAGCGCAGACTCGCAAACCCAAAAAGACGGGGGAAAAAAAAAGAAGAAAAACGAAGAAACCAGGAAAATCCCCGGAGGTCGTAGAAATACATTCCTACGGCACGAGGGCACGTCCGGTAATTCAAAGGAGGTTAGACATAGAGGGATCCCCTGCATCTGTAAAACACTTCCGGAAATGCATTAAGAGCGCGTGATAGAAAATTCGATCAACGGCGTAAACGGGATGCAAACCGTGAATCTTTCTCGCCCCCAGAGATTAATCCACCTTGAGGTAATTACCTCCCTATCTCCCGCCCCAAAATATTAAGTCGTCCAGAAGTACCCCGCGACCTCCGGCGTAAATTTTCCCCTTTGCCCGCAAGAACTTCCGGAAAAAAGTTCAACAGAGGTAAGACCCTCTGTACCTCCCTAACCGCCCCCACGCGTGTCCCCCGCGTTTCCCTGGAAAACCAAGGTGTTCCGGAGGAAGAAGAAGCCCTCCCTCGAGATCCTCCTCCGGCGAAGAAGCCGCGGCCGACTTTCCGCGCGGCCCGCGATTTCGCGACGCAACCGGGAGGCCTTGGGCTCGTCCTTACAAGGCGCGGAATCGGCGGAATTATGTCACGCGCTTTTTCCCGGCCTTTACGAGCGAGGGGGGAACTACTCTCTCAAACGATCCGCCGATTTGGCAAGCCCGAGAGCCGCGCACGGCGGTAACGACCGGCGACCGGGAATTTCATTCGAGGAACGTCCCGCGTCCCCGTTTCCTTCCCCCTGGGGCAAGGCGATGGGGGAAAGGGGGGCTCTTGTCGGTATCGGCCTGATTTATCGGCCGATCCGATATCGCCGCTGGCTCGACCGACCGGGACTCCTCCGAAACCGTAGCGCACGGTGCACCCTCGTTATCCCGCAGGATGCAGCACCGCAACCCCCGTAAATCGTCGAAAGAAAATCGCCGAATATTGAGAGGGGGAAGAAAAAAAGAGAGAAAGAATAATAATAATTAAAAAAAAAATGGTGGAAAGGTATAAACATTAACTTAGAAGCACGCGACGAAAGTTAGCGAATACTTAACGGCAAACATCGAATTTGATATGGGGAAGAAAAAAAGGAAAAGAAAAAAAAAAACTGGGGCTTAACGCATCGGGAGGCGGTAATCTAAGAATGGGGGAGGAAAAGAGACCCTTCGCTCGCTCGCTTTCTCTTCCGTTGACTTTCCGCGGTCACAAAGGGAATACGGCCGAGTTTGCGGGGCTCGCGTATCCCGCGTCTATGACCTAACCATGAAGAAAGCAGAACCGAAAGAGGGAATACAAAGGGGCTCTTTTCTCGCGCTCTCTCCCGTTTTATGTGAACCAGTTGCGCGGCGCAACATGGCGACGGTCTCTCTCTCCAGTAGTAAGACAGAGAGAGCTTGTAGTTACTGAGCACTGAGGGAAAAAATAGCTAAACGTTATCGCTACGTGCCATGAGATAGGCCCCGGTCTCCTTAGGGATGATACGCAACCGTAAGAAGAACGAATAACTTCCCAAATCGCGGCTCTACAGAGTATAAACTTATTCATCCCTGTAAGGCGTTACGAGAGGTGCATTCCATAAACATATATTAACACGTGAAAACATTAAAAACACCAGCACGCAATCGTGGAGGCCCTAGGGAAGAACGCGATGCTGTTTCATCTCCTCGCCAAGTAATGGAGTGAGATCTTCAAGATTTGGATCTTTCTTTAAAGCAATAGCTTTCTGCCACTTGCACCAGATACTTTTTCCAGTATACTCTCAATATATTACGGTCTCGAAATACGTAAAAAAAAAAGAATATCGATTTTTTTAAAGTTCTAAAGGGTTCGCTCCCCTTAACACGACCCTCTCTCAGTGTATTCGCTCTCGTTCCTTTTCACTGCCGTTCCCAGAACACGCACGAGGAAAAGGTTAGGTTCACGGAGCCCCGGGTGTCCCGTCGTACGTGCGTTCTCTCCTCGCGATGGGCCTGGAGAAATTTTCCCGATCGAGGGGAGAGAGAGAAAGAGAAAGACAGAGTCCTCCCGGCGGTGCGTAACGCACCGCCGAGAGTTTTCGGGGAAAGTGAGCGCACGTACGATTCGTGGGTTGCGACACCGCTGAAATTATGCATCGACGGCAGGTCGTTCGTGCGGAGAAAGACCGGAGGGGACGGATCGCGTGAGAGGGAGCGAGAGGGAGCGACGGGCCGGGCCGTGGGAGCGAGCGAGAGGCGCATAGCCAGGCAGGGTAACGGTAACGGTAGTAGAGCGCCACCGAGTCACGACTTTAAAGCACCGACGACGCTCCGGCATCCTCGTGTGCGTAGTCGGTGCGGAATTAAGGTGCTTCCACACTCTCCGACGGCGTATTACCCCGAGTAGCGCCTAATCGTCGCGATCGAGAATAAGAAGAAGTATCGGTACTTAAAACGACGATACAAATCGTAATTGCAACTTCAACTTGAAATGCCAATAGCGGATCTCCCACCCAAAGGGACAAACTCCACTCGCGAGAAAGCCTCGCCATCTGTCGGCACCGTCGAAACTAATGGTGGCAAGCGAATCATCATACCATTGTTTCCGCAACGACATAGGCGAGTTCGGATAACGAAAGGAGAAAAACATAGGGAAATAACGATGCTCGCAATTGTAATTCCTGAAATAAAAAAAAAATATATATATATATAAAGGAAAAAAATCCTTAAAAAAAATATATACATATAAAATCCACGGCGACGATTTCCGCGCAACGCGGGCGACTTTCCCTTTCCGCTTTCTCCGCGCGTCTTCGGGGTCGTCCCCAGACCCGATCGAGACATTTCTACCCGCGGCGGTCCTTTCATCTCCGTGCCGCGCGTTTCGTCCGCGTCCCCCCCCCCCCCCCCCCGGGAGCGGAGGAGGAAACGGCACACCGACGACCGGGCCGCCCGGAAATCGCGTCCCGTACTCGAACCTGCGGCCACGTGGTCGAAACCCAGCGCGGCCACGAAACGCTAACCTACCGCCGGGGGTTGGAAAGCAGGACGGCGTCGACACGCGAGCGACGCGGTACGGAGGCGTTTCCGCGGCGGAGAGCCTGGGCCGCAGACAAGCTCGAGTCACGAGTCCCGATCGGGGCCGATTTCGCGATCGGGTTTCCATCAAATCGCCGAAAGCGGCCTAAAAAAGCCGCGGCCGGCGGCGCGACAAATTCCTCGAGCGGAATTGCCGCGCCGATTGGTATCGGTGACCTCATCGGGCACGAATGCGATCGCGGCGTTCGATTCAGCGGTCGTTACGTATCCGAGGGTCGGATAAGCCTTACCGCGCGGGCGGTGAGAGAAATTCCGCGAGTAGTTCCTCGTAATTCCCCCCTCCCCGGTTAAAGGGAATCTAAATGGCATCGATTGAATCGCTCGCTCCAGTTAATATATTAATTCGGAGGGGATCCCACCTCCAGATATGGGAGAGGGAAAAATGAGATCGCCACCGAGACTCCGAGAGAGAAGCGTATCGGAGCCGTTAAAGGCGAGCTGCCTCTCGCTCGGAGGTCAAGCGCGCCTTATGCAAAATCGGGCCGAGCCCGGCGCGGCGTCTCCGCGCCTTACCTGTTGCCAGTGATCCTCGAGGGAAGGCTGGGCCGAAAAGTATCCGGTATCGTGTATGTCCTGCAGCTCCCGGAATATGTTGCCGCTCGGCAGGATATCCATGGTTGCCGGAGTCCGGGGTCCGGGGCTAGGGGCGGCGGTCTCCTCTCGAGCACCGGTCACTAACTACACGAACAACGCTCGGCGCTGGGGGGGCGAGGGGCCATCGGCGGGCGCGCGGCCGCGGTCGCGCGGACCATCGGGACGACGCCGCCGAGGCTCGAGCGGCCGGGCGCGGTCGCGGCTCGGTCGAGTGCGGACTCGTCGGCTCCCTTCCGGCGGGTCCCCGGAGCTGCGGGCAGCTCCTCGATCAGAGCGAACTCCCGGCGGCGCTGGGCCGGTCCTCTGTCTGTCCGCGGCGCGCTCGGCCGACACCCGCGGCAGCATCCATGTCGGGCGCGCGCTTCTCCGCGAGGGGTGAAGGTGGCTCCGGAAGTAGCCACGGACGCGGCGCGTCGGTGGTAGGAGCTCCGCGGCCTCGCGCCCGGCCCTACCCCACACCGAACTTTCCCCCCGCGCACCCCTTTCTCCTCCTCCCCGTCGACCCTCCGTGATCCGCGCCCCCGACGGAACGCGCACCGGTCGACACTTCGTTCCCCGACCTCTCCTGCACTGCTTCGATGTACTCCTCGCGCACTCGCGGGGCCGACACTACGTCCTCGCGTCTCGACCCGGTATTCCGCGCACCGGATGTACCTCCTCACCCTCCGCAGGTGCGACGACTCACCACCATCGGAAAGTACGGACCTTCCCGCGCGACGGCCGAAGAGTGACTGACGTTCCGCTACTATCGGTGAGCGCCAGCCGCCACGAAGGCGCCCGAGCTCGGCCGAGCCCGCCCGAACCGAGCCGGCCAGCGAGCTCGGGCCGCCGGCTGCCGCTATCTCGGTGCGGCAGCACCGGGCGGCGCGACGCTCCCCCACTCTCCCGACTACTGCGCGCCTCGGAAGTTCCCCTTCGCTCTCTCTCTCTCTGTCGCGGCCACCTTCGCGCGGCCGGAGGACGCACCGGACGGCGCGGAAAACTACGGCTTTCCAGAATTTCCCCCCAACTCTCTTTGTACGATGCCGAAACTCCTGGACGAAGGTAAAACCTTGACGGATATCTCGCGTAATGGCAAGCGTTACGGGAAGAAGTGGGCAATGAAATTGCGGAATAATATGGCCGCACCGATTCTGCCCACGGCTTGCTGTTTATACGAGGTATCTGCGCCCGCCTTTAAAGTCACTTCGATCGTTCGATTTAATCCGTTTACGGTGGTAATGATTTAATTATATACACCGGCAGTCCCTGCACTTTAAGAATTTTTTTTCTCCATCGGAATTTGTATTTTAAACCGTTACGACGAAACTAGGAATTCTCGATTTACGATCGATCGCCACGAGCCAATCCGCGGAAGGATATTTGTAAAAAAGAGAACATTTCTATCGGTTCATTCATGAAATCTGGTTTTCACATGAACGAGGTTAAATTGAAACGATCCAAAATATTGCCCCATTCTCTGAAGTATTTTCTAAAATTAACGAAACGCAGTTGAAGAATAATTAACCGGCCTCTGACTGTGTCTCCGCGTTCCGTTACTTTCTGCTCAGATTTTAAATCCACTCGCGACGAAAATCTTCCGTAACTTTTCTAACAATGAGTCTACGACTGTTTACCTAAACGTTACGAGTACGAGGGCGTCGAGGAATAACATACACGGAAGATCGACTCAATGTTTACATTCCTCCCGAGGCCCGTACACGAGGATTCGTTCCGGACGCTTTCGCGACAAAACGATTTGCGCTCGCGAATGCCAGGAACGAGGCATCCGTTAAACGAGCGTCGCGACGCACCCGAGCGCCTCCACTCGTTCCGAGAGTCTTTAGCCCAGAGGGCTCGGGAACTAATCGAATGCCGTTACTGGTCGTTTACTGACCGACCGCGCGGCACAGGCACGCGGGTCGGCACCGACACGGTACGTACGGCACGGAACCGCTATCCGGACGGGCACGGCGGATGAATGAAATTCGTTGGTTCGACGACCGGTCGGTACGGCTCGTATCGACGACATCGGCCGTTATCAAGGAGCGTACACGACGCTCCTCGAGTTACCAAGTACTCGCCTTGGTCACGCGATTGCCCTCGTCGACGCGGATAGAAAAAGAGAAAAAGAGAGAGAGAGGTACTAGAAACGTGGAACTCTATATACCAGTGGAACTATTGTCCTAAATGGAACCATTGCCCCTAGGTGGACCTGCACCGAAGTGCCGCAAGTACATCCCGAGGTACAGGATTACGATAAGACCGATAAAGGATGAAGTACTACTAGAGTCGGCGGTAGGTATTTCCATTTCCACTCATAGGACGGAAGTAGAGGTTAATTCCCGTTAAGTGAAGAAATTGGAGAAAAATAGATTTTACTTGGGCAGGTTTGGAGGACGGAAATCTCGAGTCTGCCAGGGACTGGGGACCTGACCGGTGCTTTGATCAATCAGCTGGACCAAGATGGGCAACCGTACGTCTCCTCGACGGACCTCGCAGGGAGCCCCGCACCGACGAGCACGGTCGTCGGGAAGGTCAACGAGGAGTGACATCGCGCGGGTGAGTAATCGTTCGACAACGTGAGTCAAGCCGTAAAACGTCATCGACGCCAACTCCCCGTGTCGGGAGCGGATGGACGTTGTCGGAGTGCCGGTGATTCATGGATTCCGACCGTTCGCCGCGGAGCCGGCGTTCTTACGCTGATAGGACTCTCCCATGTGAGGGGGGCATACGTGGACGAGGAACTGCCGATTAGATAGCCCGGGATGGAATTAAAACTTCTGACGAGTTTATCGCGTCTGTCCGCGGTTTCCGCTCGGCCCGGAGGACTCGCCGCATGCCGGCCGGACGGCTCGCAGGGCCGCGTCTTAGGCGCCGACGCCGCCTGCGCGGAATCCGCTTAACCGTGTCAAGGTGTACACCTGTGGATGGGCCCAGAAACGGAGGTAATTAGTACCGTATCTTTATCGAGTCCAGAGCGCATTTCGCGAGCGTTGCTAAAAGGTAGAACGAGGATCTTATGGTAACCGCGAGGACGGGGCACGCCGCCATCTTGAGTTTCCTTCCGCGGCGTCTTCGGCGTCGCGGAAGGACCCGGAGGCGCGACCCGTCTTCCGAGGGAAAGCCGTCCACCGGGAGTCTTCGCTCTTCCCGGTAGGGAATTTCACAAACGGACTCGGCTTTTCTAAAGGCCCGATCGAGCGTCGCAAGCACGTCCCGGCGTCGTTACGCCGCGGCACATGTGCCCGGGACTGACGTAATTCCCTCGGGTTGCATAATGCCGTGCGGGAGTCACAAAGGCGACGGGCGCACCGGTGCACCGGCGAGTCCTCGGCGGACAACGACTATCCGTGTCAACTATTATTCTCCCGAGAACGACCCCCGAGGCTGCACATTCCGCGTCCTTGAAGCCGTGGAATTTATGGGACGAGGACGCGCGGCGACGACGAGTCGAACGTCGATCGTTGCGTGGCGAAATTTACGAGTCCCCCCTGCGTACCCCTCTACGCGATGTGCATCTCGTTGCCCCCTCTTGGATGCACCTCGCATCGCCGGGATCTTCGATCGACGCGACGCATCTCGATTTTTTTCCTCCCGCGGGAACCCGGTGACCCCCTCTTGCGCAACCGCAGGTGCGCAGCTCCCGCGGCCGCGGGAATTTTCCGTTTCCGCTTTTCACTTCGCCGGTTTGATATCAATTATGTCTTCGGGCCGAGGGAATGGAGAGAACGGAGATGGCGTACCCACATGAAGGAGGTACAATTAGGGGGGACCCCCGAATCGGCGCCTTTCCGGAGGAACTCATGCTGGCCTTACGTGGGGACGTTCCCACGAGAAGTGGGGTCGGGTGAAACCAGCATAACGCGGCCCGCACTAGAAAACGAGGAGAGAGGACGAAGAGGGTCCCTTCTAGGTCGGGATAGACGAAATTCATTTTTTCACCGAGGTCGGGACGAGTTAAGAGGTCCTCTTCGTAGTCCTTGAAAAATTGCCTAGGACCGCCCTCGGAAACCCGTGGGGAAGGTCGGGGGGAGGCAAATCCCGATTTACATGGGAACGACGACAATGATCCTTACCAGAGTCGAAAATATTTCCCTGATAAGACTCGCGATTCCAGGGACGAGGGGAACGCCGATTAAAGGACCCCTGGAGACGCCTTCGGAGTAAGTGCGTACGTTCCCGAAATAAGCGGGATCGCTTTATGGCAAAGGGTTAAGAGTTTTGGGGAGGGGACTGATAATAGGGACTTCCAGGAATGGATAAAAAATGGGGAAACGCCGGAAATTCGAATTTCTTCGGGTGGGATCGATCCTGGCTAGCGAGGTAATTGCAGGAGCGCTTCCGTAGGTGCTTAAATCGTCCTGGGAGGATTTCTGGAAAAGCGCGAGGTCGGGTTCCCGAGGGACCTCGAGGCTTAAAGCTCCGAGGCCGAGGAATGGCGGGCTCGGGAAAGGGCCGTAAAAAGAGGGCGATAAAGTGGCTCCTCGCCTAAAGGTATAAGGGCGACGAGCGCGAGGTGGAGTATCGACCTAACAAAGGGAGCCCTAAGACCTCGGCGCACGCAAGCGAGGTACGGTACTTGTACGTGCGTATGCGAGGATAGTACCTAGGATAGCACCTAGGATCGCACCTAGGATCGCAACGGCTGATCGCACCGCCCGATAACGAGAGTGTCGGATACGAGGCTGATCCCCGGCACCCCGACACCTCCCGATTGATCCGGAATTTTTATTCAACGCCGAGCCGCTTCCGCTCGTAAACCACTTCCTCCTCCGGCAGGACCTTATCGGTCTGACCGGAGTCGGGAAATTTGCCGGGTTATCCGGCCCGACTTAAATCCAGGGACCGATATGCATCGATTAAGGGCGCCGGGGACTTTATCCCCGAAATCCAGGAAAATCGGGAAAGGGACTCCACGCGGTACTGGGAGACGATCCCGCAGGCGAGTTTAACTTCCGGTGCAGCCACCGGCATCGATTTTCCTCCTTCGGCCGAGGAACTTCCCTCGAGTTCCGGGCCGTGTTTCCTGCCGCTTATTTTTCTTGATTTCTCTTCATTTCCCCGGCTCCTCGGACGGGACGCGGGATAAACGCGAGTTACACGAATGCTACCGGGCGAGGGGGAGCGCGCGGGTCGAACCGTAAATCCTGGGAGCCTCGTTGCGTTTCGTCTCGTTTCCAGGGGAAGCGCCGAGGCGAGGGACCC